ATTTCATTGTTGTTGAAATTGCCATAGAAACACACTTTCATGTAGTAGTCGCAGCAGCTTTAAAGTATATGACTTTTTAGTTAAGATGCCTTTCGAGTTTGCTTTATGGCTTGATAGGAAATTAAAGGGTAGATACAGATAAGTTACGAAAAAAAGTATGTACACTATCCTCAAAGATCAGCAATAAATAAAACAAATTGATGAAATAGTAAAGTTGACTGCGATATCTTAAAATCATCAATAAGATAGATAAATTAATTTTGAAAATATTAAATAATAAAAACAAATAATAAAAATAGCAAAGAAAATCAAAATCATCAATAAGATAGATAAATTAATTTTGTAAATATTAAATAATAAAAATAAAATTATAATAGCAAAGAAAGCCTACCACGGCCACATACACATAATATTTTCGACATATGAACTTTTCCCAGATAAATAGTCAAATATTTCACGATACCTTAAAACAGAAGCATGCGGAAATATGTATGAAGTTAACGCACGGTAGATGGCTTATTAATTAAAAAGGTATATGGTTTCTAATATCCTACTTTATTAATGAAAATTTTAACCAGGTTTTTTTTTGTTTTGCAGATATTAATGGTGGTGCCTGCCAGCTTCCAGTTCCGAGAAAAGAAATCCAATACTTTTCGTCTTTATTTCCCCTGTCCTTTGTGCGCAATAAAAGTACAGTTTGTACCCGCCTGGGTACACATTCGCAGAACTATATGTTTTTAAAATAAATGTTATGGTCAATATTCACTAGGTGGGGTTACCTTATTAACGAAAATCTTATTGCAAGAGGGGACACTAGTTTACATTCGAACCGCTAGAGGGTGCAGATGGTCACGCGAACAATATGAACAAGTCTCATTGACGCCATTGCTTTTCATACGGGTGGGAAAATATCTGGGCTCTGATTGGCTTCGCCGCCATCGCAAACTAGAGGTGGGGAGATTGATTAAACCCCATTGGTGCTTGCTTATCCAATGGGGGCCAGTTTCAAGGGATTATGGGTAAAGGGGGAGGAGCTAGAGAGTCGTGGGTAAGGAGGACACGCCCACAAAAGGGAGAGGAGTGGGGTTGTCCCCAAGCATACATATCTCTACTCTCGAAAACTAAAAGTAGTAAACTGCATGGTATTCAATTTCAAAAAATAGATGTTTGCAAAAAACTTTCTCCATTTCAAATTTTTTCTATCTCTAATAGTGATAGAAGTACATTTGGACACAGACTGTATAGTTATTTCCTATATCCGAGATATAAAGTTTTGACGTCATGAGTTGTTATATATTCTCATTTTTCAAATAATTTTACTTATAACACATAGTTTTGGTGAGTTCCTACAAGAGATTACATAAAATTCTGATAATAATTTGGTGTCTTCGGTGTCAACCATTTTTTAAAAATTTTAATCGCACAGCGTTGCTTGATAAGAAAAATAAATAAAGACAAAAAAATGTAGACAAATTTTAAATCATTTTCAAATTTAGCGCCATTGCATAGCTCGTAAAAATTCGCGAGCCAAGTTCACCGGCAGGCCAGACGCTAGTATTTAATACCGCATAAGTCCGCTATGACGCGTATTTAAGTAGCCAATTGTTCCGAGAACAAAAAATAGCTCCCATTCATGAATTAATCATTCTACTATTCAAGATAAAACGTCACGACCAAATAAACAATTTCCAGCAAAGCAAAGTCATTATTAATCGGTGCGTTTGTGAAATTAAGCTCTTTCATGACCAATATGTTTATTTATAGCGTTTTAGTGAAAAATATCAAAGTTAAACAAACCTTTAGCAACGTCGACTTATTTACGGTGCTTACTTTTTAACATTTTTGCTTTAAAGAATCGTTTTCAAAATATTTGACATCTCAAAACTTGCTTAACGCTGTTCATATTTTTTACAAACCATAACCGGGTGAAAGTTGAATCGCCGACGGACGAAACACACTCACACAGACGCAAGTCTTCTCGGAATCTCTGCTGACCTCTCGATTTTGTTTTGAATGCGTTCCTGCTATCGCGGCGATATTCGACCAGGTCGCGATAATTTTTTACATAAAGTTGCAACAAGGTATTTAAACAATCGTTTCGCAAAGTACGAACAATCGCAGTTTTGTCTATACCCGTACTTAATCGAGGCAAAAGCAAAATTTGCTAATTGATATACCGGGTGACACAAGAATGTGGAAATTATTAACATTTTTCTGCACCTCCACTCTAATCAATTCTATACGCAAGAACGTTGGTATTACTAATTGTGTTAATTTTTTCGCAAATAACGAATCCTTTTATGACGAACTTGGATATGATCGAAGTTTGAAGACGTTGGAAGGAATCTGGTAAAAGATGAAGAACTTACCTACTTTGAGTAGAAGCTGGATTTAAAAGTTTAAAAAAATCATAAAATAACTAGTGGAAAAATGGTTGATACTTATTAATAATAATTAGAGAAGGCTTTGGGGATTAGAAAATATTCACAAGCTTACACATGATATATCATTGAGAATAGAACTTTCCAAAGAAAGAATCGGAATGGTGGAAAATTTATGAGGAAGAGAAAAAAGAAAGTTAGTGGTGATGGGGAAGTCCATGTACAGTTCCCAGTAAATTACAAATTCCATAAAAAAGCATGGATTACCTTAGATATTTTAACGAATGAATTGCGGAAATGCTATGGCGAGTTACTACCTACGTAATAACCGAAGTTAGTGTTTATACCACCAAATACCAGTTCCAAACTAGGGCCTATGGACAAGGTGTCTTCTACCAAAAAAAATTCCGAGAATCCATGGAAATCTCTAAACAACCTTTCATCAATATGGGATTCAGTCATCCGAGGCAATGGTCGTACCCTTCATTTAGCTCCGGACCTCCAAACAACCAATAACCAACTCAAAGTGTTTTTCTCGCCGACCTCTTCTTTCGATGTATTTTATTGATAGTGGCGGTGGAAATTTTTCTGTCAACCTTGTGAATGATTTCGATTAAGGCTATGACTTGACATTAGCCGAATGGCTGAAAAAAGTTGGACAGGAATATGTTGAATATTCTTGAAAATCAATGAGTTTGAAAGTGTTGAATACTTGGATAATGATGCCATTGCTGCTTCTGTGACTTCTTTATTTCATATTGACGATGAGAAAGCTAAAGATAAGGAACCTGTGAGTTGAGACTAGATTCAATCACACCAGACGCACTTCAACATATTGATAATATTCATCATTTCCTTCAGTCAGGAAATAAAACGCAATAAAAAAAAACAAAAATATATTTTTCTTTTTTTTCTATAATATTGCAAAATATATTATTAGTAATTTAATATAAATACCATATATTTTATATTTATCAACATTTAACGTTTATTGCGATCTTTGCTTATAACAAATCGCTTTCGCTGGTCTCCTGTGGTTCGTTATAATCGAACATTACTGTAGATTATTTTTGATGAAAATCTAAGTCGGATATTTACCAACATTTTTTTAGAATTTTAGTTTCAAAATGTTGTTAAAAAGTGCCTGTTTCAAACTCGTGCGTTTTCATCAATATTTTAAAAAAACTAGGTTATTCTAAAAAAAATAGTACATTCAAAATTATTAACATTTAATAAAAATAAAAAAATAAAATGATAAATAAAAGGGTCTTATTCTGCGTAGAACAATCTTTTTGATACAAAAGTACAAAAAAAAATCATACCGCCTAAAAGTGACAGATTGTTTCCACTTTCTTGTGCCACAGTGTAAACGGGGTGATTCGAAAAGATAGGTCAACCCGTCAATGATAGATTTTTTTGCGTGAAAATGTGTTAGGACATTTTCCATTTTTTGCTCACGGTTTTTACAATACAAAGCGGTTTGTCCTGGTGGGTTAGACTTTTTAAATAAATATTGTAAATACCAGCAGGAAAACGGTGTGTCTTTTATCTTTTTGTTTATTAAACTCCTTACTTTGCATATTATTTTCTCTCTTATGGGCATAACTTTGATAAAAATGCGTCATAAATTGTATTCGCATTATGATATTTTAATTACAAAAAAAAAGATAGAAGGTTCTTTGAAGATATTTTAATCTTCCTGGTGTAGATTTCATACGTAAAAATCTTTTGTTATTGTCAGTTATTACTGTCATTTATTTCCCAATGATTATTGGTCATGCCCAATATCTCAAAAATCACTATTGATGTAAAAAAACAAGACAGATATCTATTTTAAAACCATAACTGATAAAATTTTGGAGTGATAATAAAGTACAGAACACTCCTTTTTCTGCTAATAGCCGTTCTTAGATATAAAGTTTACAAAAAGATAATTTTTTGAACCCCCTGTATTATAGAAAATTAAAAATAGCATAATTGAGAATATTTCCACACAAAGACATTACGGCCCACTGTCGGACTCCTCTTGTATAGAACGATGAAGTTGAAACTTTATACTGTCCTTGAAATAATACAAAAACAAGAAATACCTTAAATATGGAAATGTAAATATAGCGTGCATTCGAAAAATTGTGGAGCGCCATTGCGATTTTGGAACCGGTAAAAAACAATTTTCAACAAAATTCCGCACTTTATTTACCCATTTTCGAAATTCAGAATTTAACATCCAGCACAAGAGGTATATTTTAAAACGAGTATCAGATTTTTTAGTATCATACCAATGGCGTCACTCTGGATAATTAATATGTTATCTTTTTTTATTGCTGTGTTATTTTCTCTAGTTTATGAAAACATAGCACCGATATTAAAAATTATCTTTTAATTGCGACGACTTAAGCAAAAATATAAAAAAGTGGGTAATAATAAAAGACATCAGCAATTGTAATAAGAATAAAAACTGCCAAAGCTCGAAACCAATGCCACATTTGAAATAAACAATAAAATAAAATAAAAGATTTTCTCAGCATTCGTACAAAAGATGAATACAAAACGGATTCGAAGTCTATTCGGATTTATCTCTTTCTCAAAATGACGGATTTAAAGCTTTTGGTGACTTACTGTTTAAACTGGACCGTTTCTTCAGTTTGCTGGCACTTTTTCCCATAGTTTAGGCTACTACAGGGAACTGGCTCACATTATCGATGCAATTTACATGTTCATTCAATGTAAAAATCGGATAGGGACACCAACACAAACACTCGCGATTAGATAAGGAACTTGCCCAAAAATTCGACGCGAAAACGCGACCACATTCTCCTTTTTTTTTTGCTCGGTTATCGTTCCGCGAACTCGTCGTCAAATATCTAAAATATCAAGTTAATGTATCGCTAGACGCTAGTCAAAACAGCAGGTTCGTGTGTCATTTTTTTTCGCCGCCAGGTTTAAATAGAACCGACGAAGAAAATTAAACAAATTTGGACATGCTCTTAGGGTTCGTTTCTGCACGATTCCTTGATTTTTTATTAAAATAATAAAAACACTTCCTGTATAATAAGATGCTCATTTTATGCTCTTAAAGAGTGTGATTTTAAGTAGAAAAGTTGGAACAAACCTGTCTTGACATTTTCATAAAATTTTTTGATGCAGGCTGAACGTCATGATGTATTTGTTTTATCATGTTTTAATTAGAACTAATAATTTACTGTTAATTAGCCAGGAGCGCCCAGTCGAAATCATTCACGAACGCCACTGATTTAAAAAAAATTGAACATTTTCTTCTCTTAAAACTTAACATTCTGTAGCCAAAAACTACGGATTAAAATTTTTCAAAGAAACTTCCACAGGCTACTGTAATACTATTTGCGAAACTTCTGGATTGCGCCAGCTTTCACCAATGCTCTGAAGAAGCCAAAAGGATTATTGGCGAAACGTCAACAAATTCAATTCAACCAAAACGGACGTAGGAGGAATAAGGAAGTTTTGTAAATAGTACGCATTAGGGACTTACGGCGTTAGGGATTGACATCGTATTTTGGAACATCCTGTATCGTAACCCTATTACTAGAAGGGAACACTAAAATTATTTCAATTTACCTCGCATAGTCTTTTTCAGTAACGGCCCTCATAAAGTAGCCCCGTTTTTAAAAATTCAAATATACATCTCCTTATTTTTGCCAAATTTTTGTAAATTATTGTATCACGGAATCGAGAAAGAAGTGAGTCCGGCTCTGTTTGCTTACTGTTTGCTTATTACACGAGTGTCATTAGCAAATACCAGATTTAAATTGTCAATATTGCATTACCTTTTATAATTCAGGTGGGGTGTGGCTCAAATTATATTATCTTTGCTATTGAGGTCACATTAATACTAGTAGAAAATATGATGACAATAAATAAATAAAATAAATAAATAAATAATGTATTAATTTAAAACAATTTGGGTTATATTCGTATTCAATACGCTTTTCAATAGAACCGCCAGAAAACAAATGAAAACAAAAAGAAGTAATTTAGATTAAACAAATAAAAAATACCAATGCAGTGGTTTTACACTCAATAATAAAACTTCTGATGTGGAACTTAAATGCTCTAATGTTACCCAGATTTTATATTGGGAGGATTTGCTATAACACTTCACAGCATTGTAACTAAAAAACCTCTTAAACAGAAGTGTTTGATGACGGGGGAAGCGATAAAAACCATGTCGGGTTAAATGCCTATGGACGGTGCCAGATGTAATTAGCTTAGTAATTAAATAAGAAGGAGCTTCATTTTTTGTGAGTTTATATATAAGATGAGAAGTTTATATATAGAAGAATTTTTCGGACTATCTGATACGTGACGAAAACTTGAGCAGTCCATAGTATGAGTATTGTATATAGTATGAGCTCTCTTCACTCATTAATTATTACCGGGAGAGTATAAGACTGTCATAAAGACTATCATAAAGAGTTCACTTATTTTTTTTTATGCAAATATAGTGAGTTATGTTTATAATATGATTTTTGAAATATTTTATTAACATGATTATAAACCGCAAAACTAGAATCAATAAGAATTTTTATTCTCCATTTAAAAATTTGTTAAAGTTGTCATTGATAGTAATAATTTCCTTTTTGCATCCAAAAGCCGTAATTTTTGTTTTCTGACTGTTCAGTTTTAAACAATGCGCGATGGAAATAGTTTGAATAACACCCAAATCGCCATTAATTTTATTTACAGCTAAATTCCAGTTGCCCAACTCAAAAGAAAAATATATCTGAAAGTCGTACGTTATTTCTATTATTATGAATATAAATACTAGATATTTGTAAATATTAAAAACTTTCTCTACAAGAGCCCATGTTCTTCATTTTTTAATTTTTTTCATTGATCTTATGGTCCTCTTCTCTATAATAAAAACTTTTTTCATGTCAGAAGCACTACCCCAAAATTTTATGCCATATTGTACTACAGATTTAAAATGAGTACAATAGGCAGTGGTTAAGGTTTCTTCTCTAATATACCTACTGATTGCCCTCATAGCTTAACCTACCCTGATTGATTTTGTACATACATTTCGTATGAAGTTCATTTTTATGAATCAGGTTATCCGAATATGTGGGCGTGCTGGTTTATAAAGTGAGCGCCTAATATGAACTTCCAATTATGATGCAGTTCAACCAAGCTGATTTGTTGAAATATTCAGAAAAATTGTCGAATTTGTGGTTGTTGTAACTGAAGGGAAAATTTTCTGAATCTTTTGTAAGCTGGTTCTGTCAGTTGGATGCGGCTCGACAAAAAAACTACACTAGAATATGTTTTAATGTAAAAATAGGATTTTGTGAATCCAAAAATTAAAATCTTTGTGATTTATTAATTGAGTTTTATCGATACCAATGATCGACATTGGTAACATTATGGAATTGAACGGTCAAATTTTTTTTCAATTGACCGAAATATTTTTTAAAATTCAATGAATTTTATATTTATCTATTAATTTATTTAAGGTTAATGCTGTTTTCATGGACCTCAAACCTGTTTTGGTGCTCTGACATCCGCGAAATTGCGTTTTTGCAATTATTTTGTTGGCAACAAGATGCTTAGTTGATAAAGAACGATCTTTAGGATTCTGTATGTTTTTTCGGTATCAGGTCAATTTTATTGAAAATCAAATATGGAAGGAACAAACCGTAAATATTCCACGTCAATTGTTTTTCTTCTCTGCGACATATTTACTTAACCATCTGATAACATTCTGTAACGTTATATTTCCTGCGACGGTTCTATTTTAAAGTTAGACGCGTTTCATTTTGGGACCGATAGACTACTCAGGATATACAGGGTGTCATTCTTTGCACTTGATAAACTGTTCGGAATTCGGGAAACTTCCGTCGAATTAAATTCCAGTCGCGTTGACGCAACGTTCTAACGTGCCTACCCACAAATCACAATATTTAAACAATAAAAGCTAGTGACGCGAATTGTGCAATTGTTTGGTTATATACGTTGACGATTAATTTATGGGCTGTCACGGGTAACCCGACTCCACATATGCGTATACGTAACTTGATGCGTCGATGGGTATATACACGGTGTCCCAAAATTTGAAATTACCGTTGACGTTTTGACTGCCGTTGCAACTTTTAATCATAACGGATTGTATAACACGTTACAAGCACTAGGTGTACCTTGACCATTGTAATCATTAATAAATAACAGTAAATATGCCAGGCCGACCCTGCACCCGTTGACTAGTTGACTATATATATTTTGGATTTTACCATAGTAACGGTAAAAAAATAGCATTATCTGTTTATGTATGGCGTTGTTCTTGGTGGATTGTTTTGTTTTACCTTTGTTGTCCAAATATAATATTTAGAAAATTTCATTTTCATTGTAAGATTAGGAGCCACAAAAACTAACCAAAGTCACTAAAATCATAAAATGTGAATAGTGATTTAAAAACTAATGCGCATGCATCATGCGGCCCTAATTTTGTAATTTTGCTAATAATGATATATTAAAATTAAAAAAACCTATGAAAAATTGCTGCTGCTGCTATGCTGTGTTTCTTAATGTAAGAGGGTTATGTATCTTTATTGAAATCTAAAGCTTAGTATTCCAAATATGACGATTGTCAAGGGTCCCGAGAGTGGCAGGTAGCCGGACAGGTAGTTGAAGTTCCTTAGTGTTTAAAATTAGAATTATAGTTACTCTCCGCAGTTGTTGCCAAACTCCAACATTCAGACTGCAATCAGAAGAATATTACCCTCGATTTACTTTAAAAAATAAATACGTACCTTGGACGAAATAATGTCTGAAATGATCATTTCATTTCACCCAGGGATAAGAAGAAATTGTGGACAAAGTTATAAACGAAATGATATTTAAGAGCAGTTAAACAGTTTCAAAGGTAAAACATTATCTGGACAGAACCTGGGCAAATGAAGAATATCGCGTTGTTAAACACGGCAGTTTAAAAAATTATAAATTATAACTATTAGCAGTAAAAATAGGTTTTTGTGTGGGGACACGAACATTTCAAACAAACGAAATGGAGACTATCATCAAGTCAAAAAAAATTCATTCATTGGCTTAAAAATGAGCAATTTCAAAAATATGTCCTGAAGAATGAACTACTAGAGATTGTAAATTTGAATAAACTTCTTTGAATGAAATTTGTTGTCGACAAAATCGCTTCGAAACAAAATATAATCGCACTTCCCTTTCAGCCATATCACTGCGAATTAAACTCTCTAGAAAGTAAAAGAGTTTGTACCAAGGCATAAAATCAAATGAGGGATAAATTAGTGGATTTTGAAAAATATATGATTGAAATAGAAGAAAGAGTGTGGCAACCTGATAACATGCTCGCAAAGGCTGCAGAGCCTATTGTTATTTCTCTGGGCTCCAACGACTATAGTTCATTTGACTCCGACTATAATGTTTATTAAAGTTACCTGTTTTTGTGTTATTCTCTCAATTATCTGGTCATTTCTATAATTATAATTATATGTAATCATTACGACATAATTTTTTTTTCTACTCCGTTCAGTAAAATATCTTTATACACCGATCTAGCACGTGAGTTTCTTGTCCCGCGGAGTCGAGTCGCTTCGGACATTTCCGGGATATTAGAGCACGGGTTTGGAACCAGTCGGGTGTTTTCGGAGATATTACCGCACGGCTTGAATTTTGACATTCGTCAATTCTGACGTGTGTGTATTCGAGTGTTTTGCAAAAATATATTCAAAAACTAACGGTTGTAGGAAAAGTCTAGTATGCAACACATTTGGTCAACTTTTTAACCTACTCGTTTATTAAACATTCGCTCCGCTGCGGTCCGCTCGTGTCAAATAAATACCTGACTCGAATGCCCCTTACCACACTTGATGCATAATATACTATCAAGCTGTCCACCCTGTTTAATGATACCTGTCATTGCAAATTATTTTATTACTCTCCGCATTCCGTGAAAAAGACTTCATAAAATCGTTGTATTAATATTAAATTAAGTTCCGAAAAAAAAATCATGGCATTATTACTGATGAATCAGTTTACAATTAAAAAACATGTACATCATCAAAACCAATTGAGGCCAGTTTTTATTACGCGGTCATACAATCGGTCAGTTTTATTGCCGCTAATACGTCGACTGAGAACTAGGCAATCGGGTGATCCGAATGAGTTGCAAAATTTCTGAATATTTACGACCCTATCGGTGCGCCAACTTACGTCCGACCTACTTCCTTTTAAATAACGTAGATCTGTCGAACAATCTATACCTACGTCGATGCTGGAATTTTCTTCAAATTGAGTTTTAAGCACAACATTCTTTTCTATTGCAATGGCAATTTCAAATAGGTGGCGTTTAGATTCCCTAATTTCAACTAAGAACGTGTTTTTCCACACGAAATTCGACATATTTTAGTGAGAAAAGTGACATATGACTAAAAATACGCAAGCGGATGATTGGTTGCGTACTCCCAGTGTTATTAAGACCTATTGCTTAATATTAAGCGACGGAGTAACGTCATCATTAGCGCATACCTTGTTTTGTATCATTGGTATTAAGCGTTGAAAAAAAATATTTTTAAAAAAGTTGTAAACGTAAAACAAAAATAAAATTATTAAATTGGCGCTAATGACTTTCCGACGGTCGACATGATTATCGCGACGCGTTTTTCCAGACACCGCCATAAAATAGCAATCGATAAATATCATTCGATCGCGCCGAGTTAATCTCTCGATACGCCCCGTATATTTTATGCAAATATCCGACGAAATAAACAAGACGGTTAACCTTTGCCGACATTGCCAACCGTTTAAACAAACAATTTGCAGTAAATTACGATTTATTTATAAAGGATTACGTTGGTTTTTTGTCATCGACTCTTCGACGGGATACAGGGTGTTCGCCCATTAACGGTATACAATCCGAAATCGCACTTTTTATTATATATGTTTCGTCTTATGTTTTAACGTTGTTTATTATATACAGGGTGGTCGCTGATAAAGCGGAATTGCAGCGTTGCCGAACTAAATTCAACCACAAAAATGTCGCACTGCACCTCGAAAAGCAGACATATGAGTCAGCAATACTACCCTGGAATTGCGACATATTTTAAGTCACATCCGCAATGCAGGAATGTCAAGTAACCGCTTAATAGAAAATTGACTAACCGTTAGACACATTGGTGACTATTCAAAAATTTAATGCACCGGAATCGCTTTTACAAATGCTATTAGTATAATTAGTGTTAGTGTCACCAGATTTTGCGGTTAGATCAACACATTGAAAAAATTTGGTCATTATATTTTAAAAGCACTCAAGTGTAGGATATCTAGTACTGTTTTACAATTATACTGTGATTTTCGAAAGTGTAGATTTTTGAAAAATCGGTTTTCTGGTATAGAAAATTATGTGTTTCTATGAAAACATTTCCAAATCACTTTTTTTTCGAATAATGTAAAATTGAAATTTGTCAAATTGTAATTTTATCAACAAAAATATAATTTTATATATTTATAAATGGTATGAGAAAAAGAATAAATAAAATTAAAAATTGTTCACCCTGTATTTAAAAAACATAGTGCACTGTGTATAACTTAACAGAAAAAATATTTTCTATCGAACAACCTGTACATTTTTAAATGAATTTATATCAAGAAAACCAATGCGTATTGAAAATTATCAAATTGTGATTTTGGCACAAAGGAGTGCTAGTTTTGTCTTTCGTGTATCTCGTTTATGAAGTGGAGTTTCTCTTTAAAAGTATGTAATTTGTTTCACCCTGTATATCACAAATTACGCTCTGTGTTTACTTATAATTGTAAAATGTGATTTTTGGTTGTAGGGTATTAGTTTAGTCTTTCCTACAACTCTTTTACAAAGCGGAGCTTCCCTCTAAAAGTGTACAATTTGGCCCTTATTGTACAGTATAAAAAGACATTGAAAACAATGGAAAGAAACGGGAAGCCAAATCATCACATAAACAAAAAATATTTTTACACAATAGGGAAAGATATAATATGTCGTAGCACAAAAAATAGCATACTGTATTCCCGGGATTCTAAATATTTATACGTGGTAGGGGAAAACGAACAAATAAGATTAGAATTTTTATACCCTGTATATGCAAAGTATTGAACCGTTTTGAGCGTTGTCAACAGCAAGACTAAATTTCGTATGACACCCTGTATATTTTGGAACAGTTACTTTAAACTCTTTACAAAGTGGAGTACCCCTACAAAAATGTTCAGTCTGGCCCACCACAAAAAAAAAGTCTTAAAAACGTAGGAAAATAAAATAAAATAAAAATATACATCGAAAATAACGCAGAGTATTTAGCGCTACTTCCGCATTTTAAGGAGAGCTATCATCGGTCCCACAGAATACCTGAATATATTTATTTTTTAATTCATAGAACGAAGGCGACGAAAACCATTTCAAATCACTAACTATAACAGGCGCGGAGATTCACCGTTCACAAATCACAATCACACGAAAACGGCAGGAAAAGTCTCTCTATATGGACGCACGACGAAAGCGCAAGTGATCCGTGAGCGGAAACAAATAAGACTCGAAAAAGGCAGCAGCGGATCGGGCGGCACCACTGGGTGGCCGGGCCGACTACGGAAAAATTACGCGGTACCGACAAGGTCGTCGATGGAACGTAGCGAATTAGTTTGTGATATTTCAACATCTGTGGGACATTTGGATATCGACGTTACAGGTAAAGCAAAACGGTATACCTAGCGGAACGTAGGGGCTGACGCGGTTCGGGATACGTCACGCAAAATAACAGTTTACTTAGAGAATCGTAAAGTATTAGCCCCGTAGCGTACTCATAAATGGCTGAGTTTGGAAATTATGTTTAATTTGTTCTAATTCTAGTCAATAATTGCCAGAAAACTAAGAACTTTGACAGCCTGCGTATAAAAAGTGTATAACGATTTGTCTATTTTGAGGACCACTTACTACAAGAAGAAGAATTTTGAAATTCAAAATTGACCGACAGTTGATTTTTTTCAAAGCCATTTTGCGCTTAATAATTTGTAATTAAATAAATAAATAACAAATACACCAAATAGTGATAATATTTTTTTTCCTCCGTATGCATTCCCCTTTCCTGTCAACACCTTCATTAATAATAAGAGAACACAGCAGAATAACAGGCAAAACTAGTAAGATATTAAAATTATATAACATAAAAAAATAAGCAGTAGAAAATATATACATGAAAAAAAAAATTAATAATAAAAAAGACTACGAGGTGTTGAAACTTCTAAAAATCACATCAAACCAATAAATAGAAAAAATAAAAGCTAGTTAGGTATTAAAATTATACTAAATAAAAAAATAAACAATATAAAACCTAATATAGTTATTTTTCTTTGACGTAGTTTTTTTCAATTCAAGTTCTTTAATTTTTAATTTAATTATAACAGTTATCTAAAGACAATATTAGCTGTCTTCTCCCGAGGCTTCTTGATTCGTAACAGTTCTTTAAGAAAATATTTAAATAGTGTTTTAAATATTTTTCATTCTGAATAGAAAAATAAATTCATATAAATAAACATACTTCCATTTAAATCCTTATTACAGTTACATCTTAATTGGTAGAGACTTGACATTTTCGCTATAGTATTCAAAGATCTCAGGCATACTATGCATTACTGTGTAATACCTATATTGATTTTGTTTGTACAATATGTCTTTAGAAGTTCCATATAATGTTTGAATGTTGAACATACAAGGTTGCACCAAAAAGTACCGACTTTAAAATTAACAATAGACGTTGTCTATATGTCCAAAATAACAATCGTAAAGACTTGCGGAATTTGCTATAACAAGTACAATTAACAATAAATCAATAAAAACACTACTAAAGAGATTACGGCTAAAAATATTACAATTTATATGCTCTAATTTCTAATTAGTAAAACCAAGTGAATCAAAAGCATAGTTCTAAACATTTCCCCCGTCTTTTTGCATTGTCCTTCTACAGAACTAACATCTCTTATCTAATCTAATCATCTAATATCACGGAATAGAGTTTGTAGACTAATTCACTCAAATAACCACATAAGAAAAAATCCAGGGGGGTAATATTCGGCGACCTAGGTGGAAAGGGTAGTTTTGAACGGGGCCCTATCCAGCTTCGTTGGATAGTTCTATCCAATTATCCGTCGGCACTGACTGTTTAATGTTTAATCCAATAAATTAAGAGTTCGGTTTTTAGGAAACTTGAGTAAATCTCATGAGTAATATTTTGGAGGACAAAATATGGACCCACTATTTGGTGATTTAAAATATTGCTCCAAACATTTGATTTGATTACGAATTCTTGAAAAGAAAATATCGTCTTCAACTTCTCTTTGACACCAAGCACACAGAACATGAAACCTGATTTCATATATCCAGGTTTGAGCGAGTGACATATTTTGGATTATTCGGATAAAATATATTTATTTTACGCACCTTATAATTAGATTTTGGATTTTTTACAACTGCTTGCAACATTGGTAATCAATTTTCGTTAGTAATAACGACCGGCAAATCTCCCAAAGTCTGGATTTTTGCGGGCTTAAAATTCTTTTTCTCATATTTTAAGTTAGGAAAGAGATACAGGGATGAGAGAAACATAACACTTATTCGTAATTATGTAAAAAAATCCTTAGGGACACTAATAAGTAAATACGTCTTTTTTAACGACCCAAGTTGTTTAAATCCGTTAAGCCATTTTGAACTTCCTGATAATAATTCAGAAAATTGTTCGTACACCCCACCACTTTCCGTAAGGAAATTGAGCAAAAGGTTTTTTACAAAAGAGTTTACGTCTGTTTTAAAATTAAAGTTAATTATTAAAAAAAAATACCATTTGGAAGACGTGTATAAAAAAAATGTTTCTGAACTTCTATAACCATGCTTTTTTTCGCGGCAATTAAAAAAAATAAAAACATTATAGGGAAACATCCGGTACATAAATACTTCTGAGATTAATTAATTAAAATTAATTTATTAATTATTTAAATTTTACTAATGTGTGTGACGGTTCGCTTTCGGAGGCGGAAATGTTACTTAAATGAAAACCTTTACGATACACACGTCATTATCGCTCGACTTTATAGATGTTTACCCCTCCATATATTTGAACAAATATTTGGCGGTCTGTTAAACAGACGCGATAAACGGAAAGATAAAATAATGTGGTAAGTAATCGCTCTAATGTAAAGAAATGTCTGTATCTAATCGAATTGCTTTGCACGGCTGCCCGGAAAGTATTGCTTATTTGCTTCGGCTCGATGCCGCAACAGAGATTGACTTATTTGCATTTCCATCTATCAAGGAACGGAAATACAATAGAACGACATCGTTCGACAAAAAATGAAGCAATTACGCTCTGTTTCTTAACGCGAGAGAGTTATAAATCATCATTGAACTGCGAAACTTGGTGGTCTTAGTATTATATCTTAGTATTGTAAGGTCCGCTCATAGATATAAGAAAGTGACCAATTGCTTTTGAATGGGATTATCCAAGGGTGGTCATTAACACACAATGCAACAGGATTATTACCTAAAGTTTGGGAATTTAAATTCAGGTAAAATTGTGGTCCGTAATAGAAAATAATTTTATACCTACCTGAGTTTAATATTCTTTGGTTTGGTATACTACTTAGTTTAAGTTTATTAGTAATCATTCTTATTTCCTGTTTAATATAGCGTGTGTTGAATCGTGTGCGAATTATGCAAAATATGTGCGAGTCTAGTGTATCTCAGGAGATGCTCCCGCTCAAATGTAGAAAACACTATTCTATTGAGACTAAGGAAGTTATAAACAATGTTTATTTGACCTTCATTGAACGTGGTGCCAGCAGGCAAGCATCTTTAGAAGAAACGGCCACATTAAAGAAGATTCCAACATGAACTGTATGGAAAATTGTGAATAATCCCATTTCAGCGAGGAAAAAAAGAAGCGATGTAGACATTTTCTCGAGTGATGAAGTGATAAGGATATAATACGGCGTACAATTTACCAGTTATACGAGCAACAAAGCGTGCCTACATTAGATATATTAATTAGGAGGCTTGAAAAAGATGAAACCGGTGTTAAATGTGGCAGAATTACCCTATGGAAGTGTATTCAACCCATGGGTCTTAGATTCGAAAAAATTGACAAAGGCAAGTTTTAATGGAATCTTTCAGAATTTGGAAATGGCGACTGGAATATCTAGAAAAAATTAGGAATTACAGAGAACAAAGGCCAATTATTTACTTGGATGAAACCTGGTTCGACACTTAAGGTACCCCGGAAAAGGGTTGGGTTGTCTCAACTGATAAGTGTAAAACAAACGCGCCATCGAAAAGAGGTAAAAGAATAACTATTTTGCATGCTTTCTCTAAGATGGTTGGATTCCAAATGGACTTTCTCTGTCTGCGAAAAATATTAAAGATTCTTCTCTGGATTACCATGAAGACACCACTGCTAATTTATTTCAAAGTTGGTTTAAAAACAAACTAGTTCCAAACATTCCTCCTAATAGCGTAATTGTAATGAACAATGGATAATTATGCAAAAAATCTATTGCATACTGTCTTAAGGCTTCCACCTTGCTTACCACTGTATATTTAATCCTATTGAACATGTTTGGCACCAAATGAAATCTGCCATTCGTCGAAACAATGTTTTCCCCGTGTTAACGCCAATGTGCTCCAACTTATAGAAACCAAAGTTTTTAACATCTCTCCACAAAGTTGGGCAAATTCTGTTAAACATATAGAAAAAACAGAACAATCGGATATCCATATTGCAAATAATATAGAACAAATAATAATTAGAACAGAATAATTTTAAGTGATTTAAGTAGGTAATAAAAATAATTTGTAATGCTATTTTAGATTTAAACATAAATAAATAAATAAATATTGTTTAGTATCTTTCCTAACAAAACCTCAAATAATTAAATTCTAAGCAAAGTACGGACCTGTTCGGCCATATTTCATACTTACAGTATTAGTTAGTCACTTTCTTATATCTTTGAACAGACCTTACCTATGATGGTGACAGGTAGACGCTAGTTGAGCTGCCTGTGATTTATTGTTTAAAATTACTACTATAGTTACTTTTGTTCCTGACAAATGGATTAACAAAACTTCGGTTTCTAAAAAATGAGAAAATTTTTATTCTCAATGTATTCAAAGCTTTTCGCCATCAAAACTCAAAAATTTTCTTCTTCTTCTTCTTCCCATTGTGCTATTTCAGGTCTTCCTGACTTTGGCAATCACGATGGCGATGCCTATTATCAGCCGTTCTAAACAATTATTCGACGCTATGTATGCCTGGCCATTCTCGGACATTCCTCAACCA